GAACACTTGGATCCTTCCCAGATGACGTGGGAATGGGGGGTGGGGGGTGTCTGCCTTTCGGATGCCTGTGGCCCCTTGCCCCTCTGACCTCCCCACCCTCCCCCTTTTCTTTCCCTTCCAGGTCTATGCCCAGACTGGGAGACGTGGGATCCGAGGCAGCCGGTGGAGAATGCCCGCGAAGCCATGCAGCAGGCCGACGATTGGCTGGGGGTCCCTCAGGTACCCCTTGGACATCGGGGGGGGGGGGGCGGGGGTGTTTCGGTGTGGGTGGCTGGGGGGGGGGAAGGGGGGCCGAAGATCCTGCCCCCTGGAACCTCCTGGGAAAACGAGCAGGGAGGGAAGTTGGGGGGAAACAGCCAGAGCCAGGCCGTGCTCTTGGGAGCGTTGGCAAGGGGCAGGCGGAAATCCAACAGGTTCACCCTCCCAGCGAAACATGGGGGAGAGGGAAAAACGGGGTGCCCTCCCTCCACCGAATCCCCTCCCCCCCCCGAGAAACCGACTCGTCTTCTCTTTGCAGGTGATTGCCCCCGAAGAGATTGTGGACCCCAACGTGGACGAGCATTCGGTCATGACCTACCTCTCCCAGTTCCCCAAAGCGAAGCTCAAACCCGGAGCCCCCCTGAACTCCAAGCAGGTCAACCCCAAGAAGGCCAAGGCCTATGGGCCTGGTAAGCAGCCCGCGGGGAGGGGTGGGGGGAGGCAGAGAAAGGGGGAGGGGGGGTGCAAGGGTCCCAGAGGCCAAGAAGGGTCAAACAATGAGGGAAGGGTAGTTGGCTCCCTTGCTTTGTCGGCTCAGCCAATCTTGCTATTTTAGCAAGGTAGCAAGCCAAGTTTCACATTCCAGTATACCCTTCCATTCGCTTCCCTCCCCTCCCCTCCATCATCCCTTCCTTCCTTCCTTCCTTCCTCCTCTCTCTCCTTCCTTCCTTCCCTCCCTCTCTCCTTCCCTCCCTGCCTCCCTTTCCACCTCCCCTCCCTCTCTTCCTCCTCTCTCTTTCTTCCTTTCTCTTCTCTCTCCTCCCTCCCTCCCTCCTCCCTCTACTTCCTTCCTTCCTTCCTTTCTTCTTCCCCCCTTTTCCTCTTCCTTTCCCTTCTTCGTCCTCCCTCTTTCTTGCTTCCCTTCCCCCTTCTTCTTCCGCTCTCATTCCTTCCCCCTCCTCCATTCCTCCTTCCCCTCCTCCTGCACATTCTCCTTTCCCCTCCCTTCCCCGCCTTCCTCCTCCTCCTCTTCCCCTCCCTCCCTCCATCTCCCCCTCTTCTGGAACCCAGGCTGCCCTTCACCTACCTGTCTCACCTTTTGCCAGGTATCGAACCCCACGGAAACACGGTGCTGAAACCAGCCCATTTCACAGTGGAGACTGTCGAGGCTGGCTTGGGAGAGGTGCTGGTGTACATTGAGGACCCCGAGGGACACACAGAGGAGGTATGTCACCCACCCCCTCCCCAGTGCCTGGGGTGTGCCCCAAGCAGGGCCGGCCTCAATTCCCCCATCTCCCCTCCCCAACAGGCCCTTTAGCCTCTG